GACTGACATTACCGGGGAAGAAAAAAATGATGATTAAGTACATTTCCAAAATGTAAATGCTTGACTGTCATTGATGCATTAGATTATATCTGAAGCGACTAACTGGATGAAAGTCTTAGACAAAGAATTTGTACGGTTTCATTAGTTATTATGACGACCCTATGCTTGCGATCAACGTTTTCGTGTCCTTGAATCTTTCCCTTAGCTGTGGCGCAGGTAGTTCCTTCTTTAGTTTCTAAGACTAATTGGATAACTGTATACATCTTCAGTACTTTTTTACTGAGCCATTACCCATTCCCCTTCTCTGATTCATCATCCATGTTGTTAGGTTCATATCTCCCGGGAATGGCACTTTTTTTTACCAAATTCCGAATTAAAAGCATTCGATATAACTGTTTGAAATATTTTCCCTTTTTGAGTGGAAACACGTTTTGATCATGCGGCAAACGCGTGACGTATGACGTAGCTTGGGCTTTTTCAAAACGAAAAAATATGATTGATTATAGAGCATATATACAGAATCTATTTGTCTCATATTCAATTTACTGCTGTCGGACAATCTTCGAAGTAAAATCGCTCGCCTTCCATAACAAGATATGTTTGGACGAAATTTGGATGAAAATGGCAAAACAATTTATTTACGCATGTGCCGTGCTATCATCTATCTATTCTACTTGTTTCAGTGTCGGCCATTGGTAAGATGAGATTTTTGTAATATTTCAAACAATTTAATTTGATCAATGCGATATCTTATTTTTACAAATTATGCTCGTCGAAAGGAAACTTTTTTATAACTTGTTTGTTTTATTTTATATGTAACTCTAATATAGGATGAATTTTTATTAATATTTCGACATCACAAATTCATTATAATGTTTTCAGATGCCAATGAGTTCGTGGAAGTCACCATAGCTTATGCCACCAGGTATGTGAAACAGCAAGATCCAATGGATGCTAAAGGACACATTAGCGAAGAAATTTCTTCATTAGATACGCAAGATAAACAACTTCTTTAGTCATTACATCGCGATCTCTTATGTCTCACATTTTCCCGAAGAAAAGATTGCTGCTTATTGCATGCTTCATTACTTAGAACCAGATTCCTATCTGATTTCTATCGCATCAGTCTGGTTTGCAGATCAAATATCTAAGATGGATTCATTTATTCTATCCAAATGGCAAGCGTTTGTAGATGTACTATAGGCTTGTAATGAAGTCGAATCCAGAAGCATGTTTTCCTGAAAATTTTATCATTGGTATTTTTGTCAATGTAAATTCGTAAAACTCAATATAAATTTACCTTTATTTTGTTGGCGACATACAATAAGAAGCATAAGATTGCGTTAAAATCGGTACGTCTCACTTTTATTTCATTTATGCTCGTACAGGTTGCAAATAAAATTCGTATTTGTGGTTCAAGTTCAAACTTTCGACATAATATTTCAAATATCGCATTGGCTATGATGTGCGCGATTGGCTAAATCAGTGGTTTTCAACCGATGTTCCGCAGTATTTTAGCGTCCCAACCGTATAGCTCAGTGCAGTGGTTCCCAAACCTTTTTTTCGCGACCCCAATTTTCATAGAATTAAAGCCTACAGATACTCGCGACCTTCACAACTAAAAACGTTAAGCAATTTCAAAAAAAGAAGATAAGTTTAATCGCAAGGTACCTGTATATCGACTGCGAGTGGACGTTGACGGTGAATATTGGCCCAAAAATATACAAACGAAAAAATGTTCACATTTATGTGGAGGCGATGTGGAAAAAAAGCACGTAGCCTATTTATAGATTTGGGACACGGCTAGAATTATTAAAGCGCTTTCGCAACTGATCTAAACCTAAAGTGTAATTACTCGGCCGAGACTCCGCCTGGCAATCAATACCAAACTTGCACAACACCTGATTAAGGTCCAATCGCTGGATAAAGCAACGTTGCTTTGTATTTTTGATAACCAAGCAGCTGCTAAACAGGTACAAAATAACAAACCCATCTCGCAGCCTGGCAAAAAATCCGATTCGCGTACCAGCGGTTCAACTACTCATTGGGATGAAACATGATCAAAAAAGCTATAATAAGAAAAATATTATTGGTGCTCGTACCACTGACACTCAATTACACTTACCAATACCGGTTACCTGCCGACCAGCTGGGAAAGTACGGCATGGAAGTTTTACCGAGCAATTTTAGCGCTGTTTGGGCAATAAATGGTCTAGGTATTGCTGAAAATCCGAAGTTAGACATTTTTACGGTACCTGACACTCTGCACAAATTTTACATTTCAACTTTCACATCCTATCACTTGTGTGCGTATGTTTGAAAGATATCTGGCGACCTCGCCAAGTCTCAACGTGGCCCCATCTGGGGACGCGACCCACAGTTTGGGAACCACTGGCTTAGGGGATCTACAAAATAACAATCGAATCCGAAATTCTATGTTATTATATGAATATTATTCAAATACAATCAAATACTTAATATTGAACTTGTCACAGTTCAAATATTATTTTGTGTTTATCAGTATAAGGTTTGTTTCGAAAGATCGAAAAGATCTGCTTATATTGAGTATATAAATTAGTAAATACAACGTAATTTTTCAGTAATTTTAGCTTATCAGCCTAAAATCAAAAACCTATTTAAATCCAAGCCATGAAAACTTGGACGTTAAACATACATTAAAAGGGCAAACGAAAAGTCGACTTAGTGACACACGAACTGTTTGTTACCTCTGTGTACACGATCCAAAACCACTGGTATATCTTTTATTCCCAAACGCTTGCCTGGTTACTATTGATTCTATTTACGGCCAATTATAATATATTAATTCTAACATGCAGTTTTGAATTATTTTTATCTATTAACATTTCTTATAATTGCAAAAAAGTAATGACGCAAAAGTACTGCTTAACTATGGTCGAGAGTTTTAAAGGTTGCGAATTTTACTAAGTAAATAGGCGAAAGAACAAAAATGGCGTAGATCATGCAAAAAGTAAATTAAACGTTTGAACGCTCCAGTGTTGGATTTATCATAGGGCAAAATAGGTACGTACGTAGGGCACCAGGGAAAAAGGGCACCACTCAAATTTCTATTGACGATTTTAGTGGTGCCTCAGTGCTTCATAAAACAATTTGGGTTGGTTAAACGAAACAGACCTCAATATTGGCTCGGTTGAAATAAAGTTCTCAAATATCATCTTAAATTTCTCTAATAATGTTTGTAAGTATAAAACTTACTTATAAAAGTATATTTATTTACATTCAGATAGCATAGAACAACGGTTTCATTTTTATTATTTTTATTGATGAAGCTCAAAAATCTCAAGTGCTCAAGGACGAAAAAATCATGATACGAAACGAGAACAATTTGAGCATGTAAGGTTCATCATTCATGGTTACTCCGTATAGTATAGGACCAATAAACTATCTAACTATTTTCTAATGATTCTGCAAAAAATTATTTTCTTGTAGGCTGGAAAATAATTTTTAAAAAAATAATAGAGCTGTGTAATCTTATATTTGTGTTTATGTTTCATATCTCGGAATTCTAGGTTTTCAATACATATTAAGAATTAAAAACTTTACATTTAGTTATATAATATATAGTCTAATAATCTAAACTAATAGTGCTGAATTTTTTTGTGCGATTATATCACGGAAATATATGCTTGATGCAGCAATAATTTTGTGTTTGTTTGTTGCCAGATGTAATTTTAATCAGGATATTAGGTAAAGGTGGAAACTTATCATCGCCAGTGTTATTTTGACATGACATTACCAAATTGAAAAGAATTCTTTGAGTTAGATATGACCGTGACCGATAAACATTTTGTTTCTCCAATAGTAAAACCGATTTTATTAAGGGACGGAATATTTTTGGTTTTAATAGACCCAAGATAATAATAATAGACCCGGCCAGTGCTAAATATATTGAATATGACAATTTGTAATGACATATTGAATTACCGTAAACGCGTCTCTTCTGACTCACTTGACACGATTGATATTTCTTTCGTTAAACATTTCTCTCCCTACTCTCTTGATTCAATTCATATTTTCTATTTAAACATTTCTCTTTTGACTCTCTCGATTCCATTCATATTTTCTATTTAAACATTTCCCTTTTGACTCTGTCGATTCCATCCACATTTTGTATTTAAACATTTCTCTTTTGACTCTCTCGATTCAATCCACATTTTGTATTTAAACATTTCTCTTTTGACTCTCTCGATTCCATTCATATTTTCTATTTAAACATTTCCCTTTTGACTCTGTCGATTCCATCCACATTTTGTATTTAAACATTTCTCTTTTGACTCTCTCGATTCCATTCATATTTTCTATTTAAACATTTCCCTTTTGACTCTGTCGATTCCATCCACATTTTGTATTTAAACATTTCTCTTTTGACTCTCTCGATTCCATTCATATTTTCTATTAAACATTTCTTTTTTGACTCTCTCGATTCGTTTACGTTTCCTGAATTTTCTCCTGAACTTATTTAAATCTAGCCAAATTATTTGACGTTTATTGACGTCATCTGCTGCAGAACTCAGCATTTATGATGTCGCTGACACGATGACTGGATAGTTTTCGCGACTCGTCGTTAATTGCAGTTGAAACATTCTTGACTGTTGTTTTTTGTTTTGCCTTGATTTGCTATTGTTTGTGTTTGCAATGTTTCTTTCACGACGAAAATAAATTGTCTTAATCTGAATCTGTATGTTTTAGATTAGTTTATCTAATATAAGACTCGTTGAACAATCAACATTCAACAAAAACCAATAATCATATCATGACGTATATAACAATTATTTGACAATTTGGCGCGGTAGATAAGAGATGAAGTTAGTGATTACACATTTACTCAGTATACAACTTTACCGATGAAGCATTCTTGTTTACTGTTGTGTAAAACCTTTGCAAGAAACAATATTAAAAAAATCAGTATATATAACATCATTTTAGGTACTTTTAGCTTATCAGCCCCTATTTTAAAAGCCCATTACAAGCCATGCAGACTTGGGCGTCAAAAGTACCCTTTTTGAGTGACAACACGTTTTGATCATGCGACAAACGCCTGGTGTGACGTAGCTTGAGTTTTTCAAAACGAAAAAAATATGATTGATTATAGCGCATATATATACAGAATCTATTTGGCTCGTATTCACTTTACTGTGGGACAATCTTCGTAGTGAAATCGCTCGTTTTACAGAACAAGATATCTTGGAGATTTGGACAAAAATGGCAAAGCTATTTTTTTACGCATGTGCCGTAGTATCATCTATTCTACTTGTTACAGAGTCGGCCTATGGTAAGATGAGATTTTTGTGGTATTTGAAAAGGGATTTATTTTGATTAAAGTTAACTCTTATTTTAATCAATATGCTTGTCGAAGGAAAACTTTTTCATAACCTATTTGTTTCATTTTATACGTAATACCAATATGAATTAAATTTTCATTTAGATTTCGACCGCACGAACGCATTGTATTGTTTTTAGATCCCGAGTCATTCGTCGTGAATACCGTATATTTGGCCGTTACGTATGTGGATCAGGAATATACAGTGGATGTTAAATTATATATTAGCAATCAAATTGATTCATTAACCAAGCCACAAAAACTACAAGTCACCGCCCAAACCAAGTCTGTCATATCCAACTCCCCTTCTCCCGAAGAAAGGCTTATTGCTTATTACATTCTTCATAACTTGAAACCAGATGACTATCCGATTCCAGCTGCATCAAACTGGTTTGAAGATCAAATATCCCAGATTGATTTTCCTAATCAACAAAAATGGGAAGAATTTGTGAATGTGGATGATATAGGCTTCTAATAAAGTCAAATCCAAAACCAGGTTTTCCTGGAAATTTTATTCTTTGTATTTTTCGTCAGTATAAATTCGTAAAACTCATTATAAATTGTAATTTATTTTTTGGCGACATACTAAAATATGTAGCATGCGGATGCGTTAAATTCGACACCTATTGCTTTTATTTCATTCATGTCCACACTTGTTTCAAATTAAATTCGTATTTTGGGTTCAAGTTAGAAAGAAAGCTTTCAATATAATACCGCCTTGGTCATGATGTGCGCGATCGGCTAAATCAGTGGTTCCCAACCGATGTTCCGCGACATTTTAGCGTCCCAACAGTATAGCCCGGGGAATAAACAAAAAATACTTATTATTGAACTTGTCACAGTTCAAATATCATTTTGTGTTCATCAGTATATATATTCTGCTTACAGCCTTACGTTCATTGTATAGGAGTTCATAGACCCTCTGGAATGCTTCTTTTGCGTTTATCGCTGCCAAATATGTCGGAAACAACTGGGTTGATTGAAATTCGAAAGATCTGCTTATATTGACATATATTAATTGCTTTTTATAATATTTCAGATCCGATTTGTCGAATTTAAACTGAGTTTTAATTTTCATGAAAACATGCTTCATATTTCGATGACTGCTTGCATTGTATTGCTTGTTATTCTGCATTGTAAACTTGGACTGAATTTGATTAGAAAAAGATTAATTTGCAACCAGATGTGTAATTGCGCAATATCAAAATTTCTTTCCGGCTTTTTTCAGCTCGTTTATTCCGTTATTTCGGTGGAGTACTTTATTGCGCGCCCCCATTCTTGTATTTCAAAACTGAGTGAAAATTGAGTTGTAATACATTTATTTTATTAGTGCTCAATTTTTTTGACTTATAATATCACGGAAATATATATACGGTTAATTGAGATTAGTATGTCCGTGTCATGAATAAGCCAACTTGAATTAAGTCTTGGTCAGGCTCATTCTGAGGATATATTAGATAAATTTAAGATGGCGATGAAAATTTCTGTCTGCATGTCCAAAGTGTTGAACCAAGTTCCTACATCATTATGTTACATGGTAAACCATTGGGTCGTTCTGATTCTCTTTAATGTAATGTTTTCAAACCTACGCAGTGAACAATATTCTGTACAAGGGGAATCGATACGTAGATAAATATTTTGTTCTTTGAATGGCCAAACCGATTTTTGCTTTTTAATGAACCGTAATCTTTTGCGTTTTTTATCGCCCCAAACTTGGTCAGTTCTAAATATAGTGGATGTGACAATCCCCATGTTTTAGATTAATTTATCCGATAACATTGGTTGAACAATGAACAATCAACAAAAATTAATATTCGTGGTGTGTTGCCAATCAAATTATTTGACACAAAGAGTTTTGAAGCGGTAGATAACAGATTATATCAGTGGTTATACACCTCAATATATGACATTAAAATTTACGCATTCTTGTTTACTATTTTTTAAAACTTTCTTCGAAAACAAAGGTATAAAAATCAGTAAATACTACGCTATTTTCATGTAATTTTATTCCTCGGCCATTTCATTTAAAACTGGTTGTTTGTCGCACAAATTAGCATACATTATTTTCTTAAGTACATCTATGAAACGTCTATGAAGGTACAAGCGAAAACACATATCCAACCTGCTTGATGCTTTAAAACCACAAGCGATTACGCGTAGATTACACACTTACAATTCAATATATGACGTTATCGAGACCCATTTCTGTTTATTGATGTTTACAACTTTCGCTATGAACAACGTTAAATAAATTAGTAAATACAACGTCATTTTCGGGTATATTTAGCTTATCAGCCTTCAATTAAAAACCCATTACATTTGAAGCCATGCAGGTGTGAAACATACATGAAAGCGACAAGCGGAATATCAACTTAGTAACACACGGACTCTGAACTGTATACACGTTTAAAAACCACTGTTATGGCTTTCTCAAAATTCTGATCTGAAAATACTATTCATTGTGTCTGCTCCATTTATATAAATTCTGACTCACATGTTCGAAGTATATTTACGAGTATTATTAACTATTCCTTAAATAGAAAAAAGTACTGATGAAGAAGTACTGCTTCACTTTTGTCAAAATTTACAAAGGTGGTGAATTTTACTGAATAAAATGGCGGACGACAAAATGGCGTCGATCATGCAAAAAGTAAATTGAACATTTGAACCAATCTAGTATGTGAGATTCATTACTCATTATTTCTCTGTAATATGAGATTGATAAAATACGAAACAATTTTTCCGAAAAAAATGTTCTTGTAAGATAGAAAAATTATTACAAATTAGCAATAATATGCGATATTATATTCGCGTTGAGGGTTTTTATCTCGATAACCTGCTTATTTTGACGTGTGATGAGATACTGTTGTTTTATTGTTGATGCCATATACTGCGGTATGCAAGCTATTCTTAATGGCGGTTTTATAGAAGCGATTATTTAGCCACACGAGAAAGGTGCCGTACAGCAGTGGTTCTCAACCTTTGTAGAGACGAAAATTTTTAGACGTATTTACACATCTAACCCGACCTTTTAGTTTGTTCGCCATTTTGTTTATCAGATTCGTTTCGATTTAAACGCCGGGGGCAAAAAATTATTTTGCGAAATATTTTGCGACTGCGCGGGAGCATGTTCTGTGACTTAATCAAATTAAAGCGTAGCAGATAAACAGGATTCAATATCATGTTCTGTGTAGAAACGAAAAAATACTTGTAGATAAGTGAGAAGAATAGTCATATACAATGATGTAAGTGGTTTGCAACAAAAATGTTATTGTTGGTGATTTTTCTTCTATATCTGATGAACGTCATCTGTTACGCTAAAATCAGAAAATTCCAATGATCGACTGCGATTTTGTTATACAAACATCATGAATCAAATTAAATTATAAAACTATGAAATCTACCTGCTCCACACCAAAGTGACTATAAACCAAGTGGAGACACCGTGTGCAATGATGCATATCGGACGCCATTTTGGGTCCGACGAATCTCGGAAACGGCGCAGCCTCAGTCTGTTTTAGATGGAGAGAGTGAGAGTTTATTTGTTTTGTGCACCAGAAAACATATACACAAAGTCAGTCTGCTGATCAGGTTTCGTTTGGTAATTTGTTTGGAGATTTGTTACTGTTTTATAATTTATTCGGGTAAGTTTAGCATTTTTCTTTTGCTATTTGCCTAGTGGAACAATACTGGTATCGTGCGGTTTGGTGAAAGTCGCGATAGTTATCTTATTATCCCATGTGAGCTATGCAACTTCGAAACCTCATATCTCACGAACCTTACATTATATTCAGACAAGTTTTATATTGTTTGAGACAATTTAGGATAATGATTATGAGATGGAGATAAAATGTCGCGATGATCGTACAAAAATCGGCAAAATTGGAAAGCGTAAATTTTTTTTTAAAAGCTTTTCAATCAAATAACAAAAACTTCGATTTGTTTTACCCTAATATGATATCGACACATTTGTAGAGGTTAAACATAGCTTTCGAGTGCTATCATCAGATTGAATTTATCGTGCACCAATAAAATTGTATAAGCTATTTTGATTAATGTTCTCCAATTCTTCATATGTCCGCTGCGCCAACTTGAGTTAAACAGCGACCTTCCTTAATTACTTCGTTACGCAGCGACGTTTTGCAATTACGTGTTGCAACGTAGTAGCTCTGCGTTCGTTATGAAAAACACTTATATATCGCTTTTCCTCGCAAGTGCGAAACGTCATTAACCTAAAGCATACGTTTAAAGCAGGTAATATTTGAACCGCGGTTGAATGGTAAAGTTATTTTTCTCATGGCTGGAAGGCTAACACAAGATGCCTTGGAAAATATATTTTCGCAAGTAATGATGAAATTTAAATCGTATTTCAAATGTTAATTCATTGCAAAAGACGTTTGTAGTATATTTACTTATGTTTCAGGTTCGTGGCAAGGGAGTTCAACACCCGAAACCAACTCAATTTCGTGTGGCTGTCAAACTTATTTCCGTCTCACAATTTATGAGCACCCCGACCTCAACAAACTACGAGAACGATGATACACCCCATTTGCTCGAATTCATCAAAACAAATTTAGAAAACCAGCAATTCGACTCTAAAAAAGCAACAAGCTACGAATCCAGTACAATGGAGGTGTTGCTTGGAGCTGCATCGGCTTTTTTGACACATGTGAAGCGGATGCTTTGTATTATTAACAGGTTGGACTGTGCTCAAAGAAGTGAAAAAACAAGACTGTGGAATCTGCAAAGATGCGTTTGTTTCTATGGAAAGGATCAATCCCGATGAATGCCCACAATCGTTACTAACACTTTTTTCGGTCTTACACACCTGATAAACATTTGAAAATTGATAGTTTCAACCAATATTCATGCCACCCATCCAAAAAAGCAATCGCATTTTTGCGCGCGAAGTAGAAACTGTATTTCGCGCCCATATTAATGCCTTTCACAATATATGTTCGCCAGTTAATTTTTTGATAGATAAAGTTGACTGCTTGAAATATAATTTTCCATCTTGCCACCATGTCGCTTTTAAAATTTTAAAACGTTTTCTCACTGTAAGGTTAAATATTAACGCAAAAGAAGTGACAAATAAAATTATTGAAAAACAGTATGCTAGTAGAACTGCAGCAAGAGCTCAAGTTAAATAGATAATATATTATACACTCCAGATTATTACATTCATGCAGGAACCCCACAATTCATTCGCATATATTTTCATGTAGTAATGTATAATGAATCATTTAATTCACTGTGATAAATGAATTGCCATCTTTGTACTTGTTCAGGGCACACATGGTGAAACTCCATATTCTATTCACATATATTTTCTTGTAATACTGTGTAATCAATCATTCAATACACGGTGATAAAGGAATCTTTATAATTGTTCTGAGCACACATGCAGGAACTTCATAATTTATTCACATGTATATATATATTTTCATGTGGTACTGTAAAATGTGGGATAAATATAACTTTCACTGTGCAATTATAAAATAGATAAACTAATTTGACAATTTTTATACCAAACCTTACGCGTCACACATTGAACGAAAATATAAAGATGTTTAATAATTGTAGTTTATTAATAGAATCAGGTCAAAATTTATTAAATAGTTCATCTGTTATATTGATTCATATATAATTAGTACTGCTGTAAGATCAATTTTATATTGTTGTACTTGACGTGCTGCTAAATTCTCATTCCAATGCTTGTTCTGTGCACTTACTATCAAATTTATGTTTATCTCCATTCTCCATCCAATCAAATTGAAAATAAGGAAAAATATTTTTTAATACTGTTATGTGTATAATATTTATACACTTGCAAAATGTATCAACCTAAAATATTCTTTTTTTGTTTTTATTATTCGATTTAATTCATCCTATTTACCAAACTTCCACCCCCAAAAATAAATTCAATGAACTTGAAAATTTGTTTGGTTAGTTCCCTTAACCTGTTTCTGATTTGTTGATCGGTCATAATTTCCAGGCGCATGAACTTGATGGTGAAGGAGGTCGTGGCTGTGAAAACCATCCTAAACCGTTGTAAGGTTCAGAAATTTTCCTGCACATAATCACGGGATGTGACACGCGTAGGGGAATTATCAGAAGTGTTAGGAAAGTTTAGTCCTACGCTTAGGGTTGCCAACTATGAAAAGTTTCAATAAAGGACATAGATTACCGTCATCATTTATTTTGTAACTTGCAGGAAATAACAATATAAAACAATATAACAAAACAATCTTCACGTGTTTTTGGACACGTAGTGGACATAACGATCGTTTCAATATTATGTTGTTGTTGTTCTTGTTCTTGTTCTTGTTCTTGTTCTTGTTCTTGTTCTTGTTCTTGTTCTTGTTGTTCTTGTTCTTGTT